TCCCCACTGAGAGCTGGTGTGTGGGGAGAGTACTGGAGCATCATCCAGGTGGGGCTGCACACTGGTGGTGGTGGAGGGGATCCCCATTACCTGTAAAGCGCTTTTCTGGACACTCCACTCAAAGCTCTATATAAGTATGAGGAATTATCATTATGGGCTTGCCCATGTACTTGTACCGTATATAAAACGCCAAAAAATTGGGAAGGAAAATCCTGAGCATACCGCAATCAGCTCTTGACAATCTAAAATCTGAAGAAATCCATTCCATGTTTCCAGGATTTCGGACAGTCTGAACTTCTGCTTGTGACCGTCTTCCACTTTCCTCTGTGTAAAGCAGGGCAAGGGAGGACTCATCCCTGTGCCATTTTCCTGTGAATGATCGCTCTCCACATCTAGTGTCATCCCTCACAACAACAGTTTTCAATGTTGATGGCCCCGTTTACTCTTTTTATTTCAGTTGAGGGGTCAGATTTGGTTGCTTTCTTCAGTCCCCTTTACCCTGGTGAGAGAGCCTCACGTCAAGGGCCGGTAACCTTCGACAGCTCGGAAGATTCTCCACGCTGAACTGCGACGAGGGGCATGGAAATTAAACTGGAATGATCAGAACACCTCTCGTACGGAGAGCTGAATTAGCACGTGTCGCCAGTTTAATTGTCGTCAGCATGACAGAAATTACATAATTTACACCTCTAACCCCCAAAGATCAAATTGATGAGTGTAATTAGGAAAGAACGAAATGTCATATGAATCACTATAATGGGAACTGCTTCACTGCAAGGTCACAGTAGGTCTCATTTATACAGGTTTGACACTAAAGTACAGTTTTCAGTAGGGAAAAATCACTTTTCTTTGAAAACGTCAAGGAAGGATTAACTCTTCCATTGGATGGGGTGGGCATGTCAGGTGACATCTGTATTCATGCATCACAAGTTCTGTTTTTTAGCGGTGTTTATCTTGCACTTTCCGGAACACAAAAACACACATTCAGCACACGGCAGATTGATGGGCAGGTTTATGACTCCACATGTTCAAAAATGGGATATCGGCTACGACATCTCAGGCTCCACTTCACAAATCACGACATTTCTCCACACGATCTAATAAAGGGAAGGGCGACAGTTCACACAAGCAGTGCTTTAAGGTCTTCCACAAGAACAGAAAATAAACGAGCTTAACGGCTTAAAAAATGGCCTCATTTGTTCAATTCATCCACCTACTTTCAGTTAGTCTCAAAGCTCAGAGTGCTGTGTGCCAGAGTTCAAACCAGCACATACAGGACACAAGGCAGGACTCCCTGGGTAGACACCAGCCCATCACAGGACACACACATACAGTATGGAGGGCCAGCCATTAGGAAAGGCCTGGTAACACCCCAAGTCCTTGGAGCTGTGGGAAGACCTAAAAGAGACCCATATCATGAGGTGGAAACTTACAGACCCCACACAGACGTCTTCACAGGCCAGAGTCGAACCTAGGACACAAGAGTGATGAGGTCGCAGTGTTAACTTTTATGCCGCCAAAACGATCACAGATGGGAAGAATGCCTCATATCAACTTCTTATGCAGGTGTAGAGACTGAATTGCTTAGGTCAGCACCATTTTCGTCCTGGGAAAAGAAAAGCGCATCCCGAAATCAAATAAAGATGGCAAAAACCATCAAGAGCAACGAATACAAAAAGAGCTTTAACAACGTTGGCTCGCTCCTAGACAGAAAGGAAACGTGTGCTTTCTGTTAAACATTTTTAGCAGCGCGCAGACAAGCCAATCAGATACACATTTCAAAACATTCCAAAAACACAACTAAACACAGCTAAAGTTCAAGGAAGCCAGTTCATGACTACATCCAATCTGATAACTAAGAGCAGGACTCTGAGAGGACCGAAAACTATAATAAAAGTTACTGTGGGTTAGCTGGAAGCCGTCCAACTCAGCAGATTTCAGTACTCTGCCGAGACGAGGGCTTTTCTGATGCTAATCAAACAGTTGTAAACTCGCAGCTCCAACGTTTGCTGAAAAGCATTGTTTTCTTTGGCAATAATGGGCTGCCCCCCTAGAAAAACACTGTTCTCGGGCTCCACAAACCAATTTCAGATTTGGGCCTTCGAATCTCAACTGATCCGAGAGCGACCATTTGACCTGTACGGTAAAACAGACCAATAGAAAGCAAGGAACCAAGTCCAAGTAAAGTTCTGTCTGATCCAGCAGACTTTTTCTTTTAGGTTTCAGTCATGGTCACCCTGTTCTTGTGTATAGTTCCACTCTGAACCCATTTAACTTCCTCTGCTTGCAATCAAGTCGCCAGAGGTCACCTGTCACCCTTCAAGAGATCTGAGGAAATCAGAGGTAGTCAGAAGACTCCTGACTAGCTTTTATTACAATTAGACAAAAACATTGGAACCCTTCAAAAGCAAATGACAGTTCAAAAGCCTTAAAACAAAAAGACTAATCAGTCCCAAGAGGACAACAAGGAATACTATTATTCCTGTATATGAAGTAGATATTTTGGTTTTGAACTTTGAGATATTTGAACTTACAGGATCCTAACACTCTGGAAATTGCACTCGGTTCTGTTGTCCTAATGTTTAAAAATACACAGAGAGACGTACGGATGTGTTAATACTGCAGCAAAGAGCCGATTTGCAAAGATTATTGACATTTCCGGAGCTGGGGGAATTTGTGTAGCCGTCACACCCCTTCACCCTGAGGTGTCCTGTGGATGACCACAGCGAGAATAGATCCAAACCTTGGCAGAAGATCTGAAAAGAAAGTCTTGGGGACCAGAGAAACTGGGAAAGTGCACTTCCATGGCTATACAGTAACGTACCACAGTTCTTTACAGACTGTTAGAGACATAAGAAGCTTAAAACCGTATGAAGACGTATGAAGAGGCGTTTTGGAGGAAATGGACTAGAGACCATGTGACAGTGGTCCATCACAGCACTGACCCCCCAGAAATGCTGGTTCCCACTTATACTGCTGCTGCAACTGGGCTAGAGTTGGGCTACCTCCTCAATGGTATAACAGCAGAATCAGGTTGAATCCACAAAAGCCCACTCCGGTCCAAGGCCCCACTCTGTTTTGTACTGACCAAGAG